TGTCATGCACAGACTCGTAAAAAACAAAAACCTCAAGCCAATCTCAAGGAAACTTTTGACGGTCGTGCTAGTTATAGACGTAGTTCTGGTGAGTTTATCTAGTTTACCAGACCTTTTGTCGTTCGACTTTCCCATCATTCAGTCGACTGCAAATAACCCAGATCATACGAGTCCGATTGTACAGATTGAAACACATTTAACGGATTTCACAGATCAAGTCGAACATTAATTCTACAGTCCCGCTTTCCAAATCACACAATTTTCTCGGAATATGAAAAACAAATTTAAATGTAAATTACTACCTCTTGACCTTTGATAATGAATTTGTCAAATTCCAATTGATTTTCCTGAAATTTCACAATGCGTTTTTATTTCCAATCAAGAGAAAAAATTGTATTTTCTCCTGCTCCCAATCTTTAAGATATTTCGGTTTCATTCCGACTTCAGTCTGAGTTGAACAAATAATCCATCAAATGAACGAATACATTCAAGCTATCGTATTTCTTTTTTATTCCAAGCTTTCGCTAGAATGAGTGCTAGAGTGATAAGGAACATTTTCAGTGCCACTAAAACCTGGTAAGTTCATAACGAAATAAATCAGCTTCATATTGTCCTGTTCGATTCTAATTTTTCGATTAACAGTTAAGCTCTGCTTTTCCCAAACATTCTGGGAGATTTAAATCATATGACCGCATGGCATTTTCAGTGCCACTAAAACCTGATAAGTTCGTGAGGGAATTAATCAGCTTCATATTGTCTTATTCGTTTCTAATTTATCGATAAACAATTAAGCATTGCTTTTCCCAAAACATTGGGGGAGATTTAAATCATATGATCTCTTGGATGTTGATTGTTTTCTAAGAATATCATAAACTGCGGCACACTGCCAGAATCTGCTCGATCTCTTTCTTTCTACAGACTTTTCTTTATTTCTTCAAGTGTTACCAGATTAGCGATCTTCTTCCCGAAGTCAATGGCAGCCAAGACGGCCAAAGCAATCTTTGCGATTAGCGCTGCTCCTTCTGTGGCAAAGGCTGCAATGAGCATGGCGGTTACTTTCGAAGCAGTCTGCAACCAGTCGTACCATTTCATTTCTGAGCACTTTTTGGAGATCCTTTTTGAAAACCATTTTTTATATGAAAGAGTCATCTCAATAAAGATTATTATTATTATTACAACTGTTTCAAACTATTGCCATCAATATTCTGAACTTTCAGGTTTTGCAGATAGCCGTGTCGATCACGCAAGAGCCAAAAATCAATCCTGATTTGTCCATCGTTGAGTTACACAAGCATGTAAAACTCGTGTTTTTACTTACCTGAAATGCCCTGGAACTCTCACCACGAAGTGTAGCTCAGACGGCCGCTCCACGGGTCGGACAGATAAACAACGGTTTCCACGCTTGATGACGTGATCACGTCAGACGCCAAACCTCATACTCTGAACGGTTCTTGTGTTAGCGATTTGTTCTCTTACCTTTTACATCTATCGAGAAGCCCATTGGAGATTTTTTGCTTGTACGGCCTACATTGTGCACTACCTCAGACAGATCTACGTGTGTGCTTGCGAGCGCACGCGGGCTTTTTTTTTTTCTGTTGTTGTTGTTATGGCAATATATAGTATTTCTCGTGTGTATTTCGTTTACGTGTCCATTACCTGTGAGTGTTTGTACGTTTTACAGGCTGTATTCTGTACTTGTAGCAGATGATTATATCGTTGCGTTATGTAACGCAATTTTTGTCGAGTAATTTGTCACGTCAGCAGCGTACAGTTATTGGCTGATGAATGACACTGAATTGGCCAATCGGAGTGCGCGCCTTACTCTGATTATGTTATAGTCATGTTTAGTGTCGCAGGAGTGTTAACTTTTTAATAAATGGTGAGCACGATTACGTTGAACAGTTGTCGTTTTGTTATTGCATAGCTCCATTTCATGTTACTTCAGATTAACTTCGCCTAATTATCTCTGAATGAAGCATTTTCTGGTCGAATGGGAGAGAGAAAGAGAGTTTTCAGGACTACCAAGACTGGAATATTTCGTGATCAGTATTTGGGGTCCTAAAGTAGAGAATAAAGATGAGACAAATAAGTAAATAAATAAAGTGAGACAAACAGACAAAAAAAATATCTGAGTCCCTCATTGGTAATCGAACCGCAGACCTTCGGATTAAGATCTCTGATGCAAAGGAATGCTTACGGTGAAAATCGTCTTGGGTTTGGCTCTCTTCCAAATGGTCTAGTGGTCCCTGCAGTGACACATGTCATTTTTAGCGATACAGTTACGAATTCGATCGTCTTTTCAGAGTTTAAACTACACTGTTCTCATTGGCATCTGTCGTTTTATCCTTACGTTCCCGATAAATGACAGTATGAACCTATTCTCGACTACGGCACCTCCAGGAGATGTTGGTGACTTTGCTTCAAGGGGAACTGGGATGCCGAGAACATTAATTTAAAGGGTAAACATTTATAACGACCATTTATGGTCATAACCATTTCGCTTCCGATCATATTTCATCGTTACATTTGTTCCTACAACAGCATGAATTTGCATGTAAATTGAGTAATTCCTCTCGAGTAAATGTGCGAGAAGATAATCGTTTTGCTTCATTCTTAAGACCCTACCGTTAAATAAGAGAGTACTTGGCAAGAATCATTCTTCGTGCGGGACGTGACCACGAATCAATTGCAAGCATCCTTTTGTTCATATCTAAGACTTGTCATGAAAATATGCTGCGATTTACTTACCAAGAAGAGGTCAATTAACCAGTCAACTTAGTCATCAAATGATTTCATAAATAGCTGAATGTTTTGTCCAAAACAGACAAATTGAAATATAAATTGATAATCAATTTGCGAAATTTCTCAAATTACCACTGATTTTCCTGGAATTTAACAATGTATTTTTATCTTCAGTCAAGGGAAATAGTTGTATTTTCTCCTGCTCCAATCTATGTTATTATTTCGGTTTCATTCCGATTGATTCTTCCTGAATTAAACAAATAATCCATCAAATGAACGAATCAATCGAGGCCTTAAGTTTTGTTCATAAAATCTTTTTTATTCCAAGCTTTCGTCGATCCACGAAATCGTCACAAAATGTCCATTCGCTAGAGTAAGTGCTAGTGTGATAAGGAACATTCTCAGTGCCACTAAAACCTGGTAAGTTCGTAAGGAAATAATCAGCTTCATGTTGGCTTGTTCGATTCTAATTTATCGATAAACAATTAGGCATTGCTTTTCCCAAAATAGTAGTGGGAGATTTAAATCATATGATCTCTTGCATGCTGACTGTTTACTAAAAATATCATGAACTCTGGCTCACTACTGGAATCTGCATGACCTCTTTCTTTTAAACAATTAGGCATTGCTTTTCCCAAAATAGTTGTGGGAGATTTAAATCATATGTTCTCTTGCATGCTGACTGTTTACTAAAAATATCATTAACTCTGGCTCACTACTGGAATCTGCATGATCTCTTTCTTTCTACAGGCTTTTCTTTATTTCTTCAAGTGTTACCAGATTGGCGATCTTCCTGGCGAAGTCAACGGCAGCCAAGACGGTCAAAGCAATCTTTGCAATTAGCGCTGCTCCCTCTGTGGCAAAGGCTGCAATGATCATGGCGCTCACCTTCGCTGCGGTCTCCAACCAGTCGTACCATTTCATTTCTGAGCACAAACTCTTGATGATGGTCCACAGCAACCCAGCTGCGTAGGTTTCTTTGAGGAGGAAGAAGATGGCTTTAGCCTCGTTAGTTGCACTGCCCCCTGCCGCTTTCCAAGAACTGATAAACTTCTGTATCGCTTGCTGGAATGCTGGAGACCTCATAATTGCTTCCGCGGTGTCTTCTACGGTGGCTTTCATGGTACTGCTGCTTACTGATACCCCAATCCCCACTGCCTGCATGACAAGCATCACAGCCTCTACAACAACACTAGCGTACTGAAGAATTGTAGCCCACTCGATGTCAGCACTCGTTACCAGCTCCCTGGATGACAGGAACTCCTCTTCTCCTCTCGTCAACTGCACCAGATGTCTGCCATTGTCCATCTTGCTTATTTCCATGCGAAACGTTGGAATGGTGAGCGCCTCTTCAATCAGCTTGATTCGGTCTTCTGGTAGATGCTTCGCGAGGCGCTTACGGATGTCTTGTTCTGGTTGAGAGGCAAACTCATGAGCGATCTTTACTTCCTCTTCTGCGGCTTTCCTTGCTGCCGCAGTGATAGCATCTTTCAATTTCCCGTCTGCAATGAGCTTGGAATGCTCTTCAGGAGCGTTCTTTTTAATATGCGCCAACGCCCCTTGCACAGCTTCCGAGACTTTCTCACTGTCTGTCGCCATTTTCGATCAAGGAAACGTAGGTTGCTGTGAATGAAAAGCATTAAAGACCAATTTACAAATGTTATTGCAGCAATGGTCTTTCCAACTAAAAAAGATCCTACACCAACGAACGCAAACACTGCCGCATAATCAAATTTAATTTTAATCAAAATTAGCCAAGTTATCCAGATGTGGACCTGGAGAAATCTCAGTATATGGCGATCACTAAGGAAGGAAGCTGTTTCCTAGCAAGGTATCTAAATATTACTTTGATTCATTTCAAGGGCACTTTTCTGATCTACATTATTGCGAGACAATCAAATGAAGAGATACACACTTCAACTATAACCTTCAACCATCTAAACCTTTTTCATAGTACAGTAAGAAAATATAAAGCAAATTCTCTTTAGTCTTCACAAATATTTCACCAATCTTTGACAAATTTTTTAACATCATGTGATGCTCAAGCGATTCTCAACGAGCGAAGTCAAATTATTCCTAACTAGTTCCGCATATGTGCTAGCACAATAATAATAAAACTCTCTACGAGCCCTTATTCGATGAGCAGTTTAATTAGAAATGCCATTCTCTATTGACAGCTCAACTTGAAAGGAATTTATATTGATTATCATAATGTTCAACAGCTAGAAAAACCTGCCTACCAAATTCAACGGTGCCAAGCTCAGAGTTCAGCTGCAACTCGGAAGATACGTGATGTGGCTTTGATATTCTGAAAATTCAATTTATACATGCACGTACTCGTCCACCACGTGATAGTCACAAGCAGGGTATTTTTATCTCAGCGCTTGCTGATTGGTCCATATCAAGACACCTAATTTCCTCAATTGTTCACGTCTAGTACTGAATTTCGTTGCACCTTAAACTGCATGATGAATTTAACAGAAATAGCCTCATACAACAGAATCACTCAAAATCACTAACCCCAGGTTAATTCTACAAACCGCACAAAATTTAACACTGTTTGGCGCGAAAGGGGGATTTTAGTAATATTGCGTTAAGTGTCCTAAGAATTTTGATCTCCGTTGTAGATTTTTGAAGCTCGTCATACGCGGTTTCCAGGACAGGTTTCAACGAGTCATCTGATTTTTTTCGAGAATTTAATGAGTTTTTTTTTGTCATGACCTACTTGTACGAAGGAGGTCAAAGTACCGTAACAAAGGAAAAATGCATGTATCTAGAGACATCCGTGAAATCGATACTTTGATACTTGATTGCGTTGCACTTTCAAAAGGAGTTTCCTGACTCTCGAGGAATTTGGCATAAACAGCTTATTAAAGAAACAAAATCCTAACCCTTGTCATTGCTGGCTTGATTTCTCTACGTTGAAAAGAATTAATAATTAATAATTAATAATAATAAATTATAATTAATAATTAATAACGAGAGTAAAAAAATCTAAGCTTCATAAGCTAATGCTAACACATTCAATTTCCTGGTCCTTCAAAAATTATTTGATTATGGCCGAGCATTTTTTTTCTTAACTCAGTTTCTATATCTGTCCACAAGAAGAGAGAAAGAACAAGATGAATTGTTGTCGAATAGCAAAACTACTTGTTGCAGTTCAGTTTTAAACGCAAGATTCGCAAGCACCTCACAACAACGAGATCGCCACCTTTTGACACTTAATGCCTCACTTTACGTCGACACGGTTCTTAATCCCTTGATTTTCTCAGTATTCAACAGACAACTTACGACAATGGAATCCACTGACATATCTGCGTAATTATCAGATTAAACTGTTTCAAACTCAAATATCCGCTGCAAGGGAATTGATGGTGTATGCCATCAATTTTCTGAACTTTCAGGTTATGCACATAGACTTGTCCATCACACAAGAGCCACAAATTAATTCTGATTTGTCTTTTGTTGAGTTACATGATTTTTTTTTATCTCCGTCTACATTTGATACTGAAAATTGGCTTCCGGTTTTCACGGAATTTCATATAGAAAGTGATTAATCTTTAGATCTTTCTCAGCACAGTAAACTCAGAATCTCTTGACATCCCCCAGCATGAATTTTTTTAATCGAAACAGAGTAAGGTATGAGAGTGAAATTTCTACGCTACAGAAGCTTATACCCAAGCGATTTTCAGATCCTGTGTTTCTTTACGATAGTTTGATTCGTCTTTAATATTCATTGGTTATTAATCATTCGGGCTTCGCTCTCCTCAACTATCGCGCGATGGAAAGTTCGAACTCATGATCTAAATATTACAGAGTATTGACTTCGAGTGATGTGGCCATGATGCAGTGATACAAAGCTAGTTCATTTAAACTTCGTCACTAGGCTCAAAAGCTCACCATCTTTCTTTCTCTGTCTACACATGACGCTTGCTTACTCGATTTTAAATTATACATGTCACTAGAATGCGCTGGTTCAAATATTAACTCCAAATTACACTCTACTAAGCCGTACCCAGTTTAAAAAAGCACACAAGCTAATAAACCTAGTGTTTTTACTCACCTAAAATGCCCTGGAACTCTCATCATGAAGTGTAGCTATAAAGAGGGCCGCTCTACGGGTCGAACAGATAAACAATTTTTCCACGCTTGATGACGCGATGACGGCCAGACGATCAATTTCACACTCTGATTGGTTTGTGTGTTAGCTCTTTGTTCCCTCACCTTACACATTCATCGAGAAGCCCATCGAGAGTATTGTACACCACCTCGTGTATCGGCTCCAAAATGCTGCAGCCCCGTCAACCTCGCGTCTTCGCTCGGCTGACTTCGATGGCAATAAAAGAGTTACGCGCGCGCGCGCGCGCGTGTGTGTGTGTGTGTATGTGTGTGCGTGTATGCGTGTGTGTGTGTGTGTGTGCGCGCTTTTACTGTTGTTGTTATCGCGAAATTGGTGTCATAGCGTGTGTGTTTCGTTCACGCGTTTATTACCTCTAAGTGTTTGTACGTTTCATAAGCTGTATGATGTACTTGTGGTCGATTTTTATATCGTTGCGTATGTCAAGTAATTTGTCCGGTTTTGTGTATAAATTTACTCCTGTGGATCAATACTTATGTCCACTTTTAAGAAGCAGCGTCTTCGTTTTTTAATGCTAGGTGCATCAATAGTGTACGCTGTGGTGTTTACCATTTTTTTTATAACATAAATTGATACCTTGTAGCAAAATAGTTCCATTTATTTAACAAATCTAACGTGACCAGATAAAACAAGCGCGCGGAAACTATTCTTTGCCTTCGCTCACGTCAGCAGCGTACACCCGTAGGCAATTGGTGGACACTGAGTTAACCAATCAGAGAGCAGGCTCTACTTTCGCTAGGCTATAATCATGTTTAATACCGCAGGCGTGTGGATGTTTAAATAAATGGCGAGCACGAGAACGCTTGACAGGTGTTGTTGTCTCTGTTATTGCGTCGCTTCAATCCAGATTATTTCAGTTTAACTTTACCTAATTACCTCTAAATGAAGCATTTTCTGGAAGAATGGGAAATCCTGGTGGTACTGAAAACTCTTATTCTCCTGGGATATTCCAACCTCGTTCCCAGGGCCTTTTCACTTAGTTGGGGGTGGGGCGAGGATATTTCGTGATCAGTATTTGGGGTCATGAAAAGGATGGGAAGAATATTTTGTCAAATACACTCATTGTCACGGAGTGTCTGCGAGTCTGAGCCAAAGACTGGGACTGGTTGTGGGGACTGCAGCTGTGGCAAGTTTAGGGCTTGGCAGCGCAGGAATGGAATGCTTTTTACCAAAGCTTGAAATAGTTAAAAAAAGAAATATATATTTTTTTTGCTCCCCATCCCGTCCCTAAGCTGCCAATCCTTGAACTCGCCCCAACTGCAGTCCCTGCAATCAGTTCCAGTCTCTAACTCGCGCTCGCGGACACTCTATGACATTAAAACTGTCGCTGATTGGACATATATGATAGGCAACCAGCGGATAGACAATTCTTTTAAGAAGAGAAGAAGGTGGAAAACAATATATATAATTCAATCAATCAGTCATTAACTTCAATTATCGACGGTCACGAAATCATAGACTAGGAGCGGTTCCTCTTTTTCCAAGGCCATCGTGGGCGTGCGCAAGTCGAAAAGGATGAGTGAAAAAAAATTGAACTTTCCAATCCCAGAGTTCCGCGCGGTGTGCTAACATATATTTTTAAACTTATTTTCTTTTTCAACTGGCGCGACGGACTTCGCAAAACAGGAGGGACTGTTCAAAGTCTAACAAAATCACAAGCATGTGAAACTCTGAATCAACTCATCCCAATTAACAATCTACAAGATACGCTTACTAAAGCTAATTCTATTAAATATAAACGTTTGTATTTTAAAATCGCCTGCTTTCCACGAAAGCCGTACATTTCGTATCACTGTTTGTTTGCTCGAAAGAAATTATTTCGGCTGGATTTAAGCGAGGAGAGGGAGTTTGTTCTTGCTTCAGTTCGATAGGTAGACAATTCTACAGCACTGAACCTTTGTAAGTGAAACTGTTTTTTAAAAATTAAAGTTGGTTCCGGGCAGTGGAGTAAATATTTTTGCCCTCGAAGTTCCTTAAAGAACGATTAGAAGGGAGCGAGGCAGTTGAAAGAATTTTAGATCATAGTCAGCTGTTTGAATTTTTCGTTGCGTTTCTAGTTTCTTTTTGCTAAAAGATTTTAAAGATCGTCAGCACTGGCATCATAAGAAGAGTAAAATCGCGAGAAGGGCGGCGCTATTTGATCGTTGTTAAAATCAAAACAAAGGATTTGCTTCTTCACCCATTCCCGCTTGCAGTGTCACCTGTAGGGAGTTAAAAATCGAAGGTAGGAAGGCAACTGACCGAGGAAAACATCGTTTCAAAAGTAAATTTTCATTTGATTAAAGACATTTGTAAATGACTGTTGTGGTTTACCGTCATTAACAGCGCTTCGTTAACTTCAGGATAACATATGTTAACCTGTTCCAGGTGTCAATCAGTGAAACGGGGAGCGAGGATAAACGGCGATCTCATCGAAGGAGTAAAAAGACGAGTGAGTGCCTGGGTGGGGCCGCGTAATGAACGCCTGTTTTCTTTCTTAGCTTTTTCACTCCGCTGCTACCATCGCAAAGTTTAGTATTTCGCTCTTCTTTATTTAACTGAATGCTTGGGAAAAGCTGATCATTTGTGAGACGTAGACAGGTCTTATGCATGTTTACGTCGAAATTCCCGACCCCTCAAGCCTCACTTTCATGGAACAGACTGGTGTGTTCCCGAAACATCGAAAAAGTCCAATGTCCACATAGAAAAGATAAGATTAGGTAAAACAAATGGCAAAGATTCAAGAAAACATTTCGCGCAATTAAGTCAGGCTAAGGGGTGAGTTTTTAGTAAGTGACGTTATCGTGTATCAGGGAAATTTTGTCAACGGGGTTTCCGTTTTCAAAAGACGCAAATTTGTTAGGGGGATGTAATGTTGTGGTTTTCCTATAGGGAGGACTTTTAAAAGGCACGAGTTGAGCAATTGTTCTGCTCATTAAATCTTTTATGTGGTAACGCTCTCGCTGCTGTCCTCGTCGTAATTTTCTTTGAAGCCCAGTCAAGATTATAAAATCATTTATCTACATGCCAGATTTTTTAAGGCTAAGCGACGTTTTTGACGTACATGTGCGATATATCAAAACACCCTCACTTAGGGGGTCGGGGAATGGGCTAATGAAGGGCCTGGAACAGTCTTGAAAACTGTCTTCAAGAATCTTGCTCGGGCAACTACCAGTGTAAACGGCTATCGAGCATGTTGTGGTTGTCGATTGATACATGATGATTTAAAGGAAAGAATAATACAGATACTCAAAGGTGAGGATTTTACACACCCAAAAAAATCATTCTAAGAATCACTGACTCATTTCAAACTATTTTATTTGCTGTTACCACTGATTGGGATAAACAGCTGACTTACTTAAATTTGGCAGCTCGGCTGCTATATACAATGATTGTGCTGTTGACAAAGTCGATTTTCTCGTATCTCGCCATGAAATCACGAGGAATATAACAGTTTCACACTTTTCTGCTCGATTCTAGTTCATTGCCGATCAGTTAGTTTTTTTTCCTACAATTTCGAGAGATTGAAGCATTACAAACGGTTGCACTCTGACCGTCTTGTAAAGGTGATTTACTCATGTAATGCATTCACATGGGCTCCAATACTTGTTCTAAGGTAGATCGTCAGAACCTGCAATAGTCTCCTTCTTCCTCCAGAATGTTTTTTTAAATCTCTTCAAGTTGTACCACATTATCGATCTTCCTGGCGAAGTCCACAGCCGCCAAAACGGTCAAAGCAATCTCTGCTATTAGCGCTGCCCCGTCCGTGACAAGGGCTGCTACGACCATGGCGCTAACTTTCGCTGTAGTCTCCAACCAGTCGTACCATTTCATTTCTCTGCACAAACTCTTGATGATGTTCCACAACAATCCAGCAGCGTAGGTGTCCTTAAGAAGAAAGAAAATGGCTTCGGACTTCTCCGTTACACCCCCTGCCGCTTTCCATGAGCTGACAATCTTCTGTATCGCTTGCTGGAATGCTGAAGACTTCTCGATTGCTTTCGCAGTGTCTTCAACGGTTTCTTTCATGGTGCTGCCACTTACAGATACTTCTATCCCTGCCGCTTGCATGACAAGCATCACAGCATCCACCACAATGCTGGCGTACTGAATATTTATGGCCCAATCGATGTCTTCGTGTGCTGCCAGCTCCCTGGATGGCAAGAATTCCTCCTCTCCTCTCGTCAACTGCACCAGATGTCTGCCATCGTCCATCCTGCTTATTTCCATGCGGAATGTTGGAATGGCGAGCCCCTCCACAATCAGCTTGATTCGGTCTTCGGGTAAATGCTTGGCAAGGCGGTCACGGATGTTCTTTTGAGGTCCACATTCAAACTCGTGAGAGAGCTTTATTTGTTCTTCGGCTACTTGTCTGGCAGCCACTTTGATAGAATATTTCACTTTTTTAAATGCAGTTAGCTTCGAATATTCCCCAGGGGCATTATTTTCAATTTGCGCCAATGCCATTTTTACCGCTTCGGAGATTTTTTTTTTATCTGTCGCCATTTTCCAGGGAACTCACGTTGCTGCCAAAAAGAAGAAGCAAGAACCGTAAAAGTTGTCTTTCAGAAATATTCAACACTTCACGCCGGAGTTCAAATAACATTGCATAACATTAGAGATAAAAATAACTAAACCAAAACAAGTGCCATTTCTTGATATCTTGAAATTAAAAAAAACACAGGTTAGATGAAGATCTTAACTCAAAGGGTGGTCTTTTAAAAAAATATAGATCATACTTTTACACAATTCTTGCGTCATTATTTTTCTGTTTAACTCTACCAAAACAATTAAAGAGCAGGAAAAGTGGTCCAAGACACCCCTAATCAGTGAATTACTTCAGACTGTTTTTAACTGCACACCGTCTGAAAATGTTACAAAATCCTTGCATAATGCCCCTGCAAAATCTTGTAAATCGCTCCCTAAATGATCTTTAACAAGTTCGATTGAGCCTTTCCGAACTACCTTGCAGTTATATGTTCGTTCGTTCGTTGGGTTCTTTTTTCTTCTTCTGCTGCGAGTCTAACAGTCTAACGTATGGTTTTGTTTTGCAAAGGAAGAGAATTCTGAACCATTTCACATGCATGTTAGGATATCTACTTACCAAATTGAGCTACGCCAATCTTGCAGGTTAGTGCAATGAGAAAAAATGTAATGTGCTGGAATAGATGCGATGTTCTGTTTTTATATGCTGGACGTTCAGTTTTGGCGCGCAATCGATTGGCATCACGCGCTAGTCATGGGAAAAAATTACTTGTGCGCACCTGCTGACCTTTAAATTATATAATTCTGAAATCACATGCTTAATGTTTTCACTTTTTCTTTTAAAATTTTAAATCTACCCGCGTGATTTTCTCGGAAATCACAAAATAATAGTTATTTTTACCATTCCTGACCCTCTTTTCTCGGAATTAAACACAAAACTTTTCACGTTTTAGAACTGAAAGTCCATCTATGTTTTGTAACATCAAATCACAAGGTTTTCTTGACATCAAACAATGAACAAAAATAAACTTGAAGACCTTTTTCAACGAAATTATTCAGTTGAAAATGGAGGAGTTCTTTTAGTTTTATAACTGATCGAACCAAAGATCTGAACAAGTCCAATCACTTGTTATTCTTGGGATCTTTTGTAAAACGGAACTAGTTCAGTTGTCACGTTTTTAGATTTAAGGCATAAGAAATAGTTTCTGAATTACTTCATCGCTCTCATGCTATGAGGTCCGAATAAAGTAAAACTGTGATCGAGGTATAGAAAATGCTGCTGAGGCCAAATTGTTCCTGTTCGTCGTCGCATTTTTTTATTTGGAACTTTTTAGACCAGTATTTTTCCCAAATCATAGTGACCATTTCTGAATTTCCCACATACCTTAAAACAGACACCCATTGCACTTAGCGAATGAAGGAAACTACGAGAAAAGAAATTAAATGTTTTACATAGCAAGGTTTTTACTTGAGGCGAATTTTAGCCTGGAGGTGTACAAGCACTCGATCCCGCTACGAGCATGCGCACTGGATTCTTCTAGTTCTCAAATTATTATTGATCTCAGCTTTGATTGACGAGAGGCAGAGCACGTGAAAATAACAATTGTGATAGGCGTAATTGAGATAATTAAATACAGACTGTTTTGCTCTGATTATTCCTGTGAGTTTCAATAAATTTAAGGGCTTCCTTCCTTTTGCGACGAAAACACGATCCTAATGTTTTTATATTCTGCCTGCCTGTCTCAAAAAGTAGGCCGGCTAAATACTAACGCACGTGCACGTTGTTGTGAGATATTTTAAGCGAGGTAATTCTATTTCAATATGGAGACAGTTATTGATCCAATTATTCTTGTGAGTTTCCATTGATTTCATGACTTCCATTCGCGACCCAAACGAAATCTTAAGATTATATTTTGCCTGTTTTTGGCAAAAAACATGATTAAAAGTTAATTCTCAAGCGCTTTATCGGCGCAGCCCTTGGATAGCCAGGCTGACAGCATATAGGTGCGAGTGCCAGGCTCTATGGTTTAAATGCCATCAAAAACAGTATTATAGATGCTAAAAAAAATTGAATAAAATAAAAAATAAAAAACTAGCAAGGTAGATCAAGCACGGGCGTTATGCCTTCGTAATAATGTAAATTTGACGTATTAGGATTAATACATGTATGGTATTGAAAGGTCGCATTTATAACCGAAAAATCTGAAGCACTTTGACTTAAAGCACAGTTAGCTCGCTTTTGTGTTTATACTTTTGAAGCATGCTAGTTTTCTCAGTATAGGCTGATTTTAAGGAAGTTTAACTTGTTTACAACGGTTCCTTTCGTTCGGCTCTTGATTTGAATGGATAACCAAAATGCAAAGCAAGGGAACAAAAAAAAAAAAAGGCGAACGAGACGGTCGTAAATAAGTCTAGAACACTCACACGATCCAAGCGAACAAGCAAAGATGTGGGGGAGGTTTGTTTTTATTCAAAACCATATCGATTACCAGGTTAAAAACATGACAAATCTCTACTTTCCGCTTGTTGCGTAATGTAAACATGTTTACATAATTTCGATGGTTCAGTGTTGTGCGTAGGCTATCTGTAGTGGAACACATCATTGTTGAAGTTTTATATTCGATACAAAAAGTATGTGAATTGTTAATTCGTTTATATTAAGCATGCAGTTACTCTACGAATTAAAGGTCGGAAATTATTTAGCTTTAAGCTTATGAGATGCGATAAGTTTCCAAATTGCGACAGTTTTTCGTGTCTGATCGACTTCCACCAGTGGATGTGCTTAGTTTGTCTACTGAACACGCTCTGGACCCAAACGAAAGTCAAGTTCTTGTCTTGGCTTGTAAGCACTGTCAACGATTGATTCGGTTATGATCGGAACCATGTGGGAGTACGTTGTTTATTTGTTTTAACCTTGTAATACTGTTGGACTAATGTCCTAACAACAAATGCCGTCTAATCTTCCAAGGTCAAATAGTCTGCATGCCCATTCATGCACGTACTTTAGAGTTTATTTTTAGAGTCTACTTAGATTGTCTCAGCGAACCAACAGAAAAAAAAAACTGACAGAAAGAGAGCTAGAGAGTCTTTGGTGCCTTTTGTTAGAGCTAATTTCCCTGTCAATGTGACCCTGCGACAGTATTTCAAGCATCTTACACGAAGGTAATAATGTTTAACGAAACGGACGATGAAAACCAACCACTTTAGCTGATGTGGCTTCCTTCCTAAATAAACTAAAACATGACAGAACTTGAAACTTGAATTTGCAGCAACTCACGGGAAATATGCGTGAACTGGTCATCTTGAACCAACATCAGATTTTGGAGAGGAAAAAGGAGTCATCTCAGAATTTGCTTTTAAATTGTTCTCCGTACTCCTTGTAGCATACAAAAGAAATACAATGCTCTGAATAGGACACCATTTCGATTAATTCCTTTGATCCGAGTGGGAAAAGCGTGCAGTGCAGGCGTCTTCATAAGGCCAATTAACACTAAGGCCTAGCTTATACGTCGCGTTACAGTCGAATTTAATTCAGGCGAATTTAAATTCGTTGTTCCGTCGACATAAATCGTGGCGTGGTTTTATGCGTCGAAATCAATACAGTCGAATTTAACTCTCTTCCCAAATACGTTGCCTCTGGTCAGACGTGTCACTCGAAAAGCTCGTCACGGGTCGCTGCGGGCTCGCCAAAATAAATTAAGAAAATGTATGCATTTAATTCGAAGCGACGCAAGTGAGCCTCTCTATGGGTATTTCCGACGAAATCGAAGACGCGACGATTGAAGTAGTCTCCTCTCGCAGCCGTTCTTTGTCTCGAGATCCCTGTGTCTCCACACAGGGATCCCGAGACAAAGAACGGCTGCTAGAGGAGACTACGATTGAAGCGACGAAGCGACGAAGCGACGATTTAGAAATTATTGCGTTCAGACAAAATATTAGTCAGTCAGACCTAAAAAAATCAAATATGAAAATTATAAGTCATTTGATCCCCAATCAAACCTGAAATGGGGAAATTAGTGTACTTGATAAAAAAAAGAAAAGGTTAGAAAAGGATTTAAAAAGGTCCGTGTGCGTGACTGTTGATGATTGATCATGATGATTGATCATGATTGATCACGATTAGATCATTCAGTCCGATTGATTTATGACCATTGACGTCATCGACCCCCGCTGACCTGTTGCCTCGTGGTCTTGTATGACCTTGAATCGCTTTCTCACCACCATTTTTTTTTTCACTGCATTACCGCAGTAGGGTGGGACTAGAACGGAACATATGTGATTCATGCGAGTAGTCCACCCATTAAATCCCGCCCATCCCACCCCAGGGGAGGACATCCA